ATGTGTCTGGTAAATTCATATTTTATTCTGCACATACCTATATTGGGTGAGATGGTAAGTGCAGGTCATAATGTCCTCATCAGATTATATTGTACAAGGATTAGAAACGGTAATGCATGTCTGAGGTGATGAGGGATGCCTGAGGTTGGAATTCATGGAATGTTGGCAAACGTCTGGGCCACCAGTTTCGGGGAAAAGTAACTGAGAGCATCTCAGACACACAGTGGGGGAATAAAGTCCTTGAGCCTTGAGGTAATGTGGTTTGTTACAGCGGAATATGTCTGCTACCCAGAGAAGACTTGGTTCAGCCGCTCTTTCACAAAGCAGACCATTAAATATCCGAATCAGATCATTGTGTGTCTTGGTATTTATGACTAATCAGACGAAGACATGGACATGCATGCCGCTTGCATCACAGTGTCACCCCTACAGCGCTGATGGGTCTAATGATTCTGTCAGGGGCAGCACAGTGGCCTGGTGTGTAGTATTGCAGCCTCATGGCTCGGTGATCCTGGGTTGGATTCCAGTCTGGCGCATCTCTGGTCACCCCTGTGATAGACTGGTGTCCTGCACAAGATGGGGTCCCACCTTGTGTCCTGTGCCTGGACAAATAGGCTCTGGCTGAACACGTCTCTCTGCGGATGAAGTGTTTATTAAAAATGATGCAATTAACCCAAATCGCTGAATCTGTACCGAAAAAGGTTCCAGGCATCCTTACCAGGAATAAGTGGCTCTGATGATGGATGAATGGATGTCTTGGACGTCACCTGGTAAGGTCCAGAGTTTGTCCTAAACCTCCTTGTAATTGCGCAGGAGTGTTACTCCCAGGTACTACAGTTAGGACAGTGGAAATAGGATTGGTACTGTATGTCTGTCAGTGTTTCAGGTCACTGGGGCAAACGGTGCTTCCCAGACCACATGCATATGGACATTCCATACTTGAAACCTCAGCAACAGATGGTTCCAATGCAGACAGGTATTGAGAAACGGTCCCGTTCTGACTAATCCCAGTCTTGTAGCCTAGCAACCCTGATGTAATTCACTGAAATGTCACCATTAACACAG